AAATATCCATTACACTGATTGTGGCGCTCACAAAATCAAGATGAACAATGCCTATGACAGAATAGGAAAAAACCCTAAGCAATAAATGTGAATATATGAATATATAGGCCTCTTTCACTTCGTTCACTCTTGCACCTTCAACTTCAGCATATGCGTAAGCGCTAAAACGTATACCATGGGTTGCACAAAACGTATACTTTGAATACTGATATGAAATCGAAGCTGTCAGTTCATCTTTCGGGATATACCCACACTGGACTAAACCTCTTCATGAAAATTTTTCCTTTTTCATTCGTACATTTATCAACATATACGACACTCTATACTACTCTATACTCATAGCACTGAACTTGCAATTAAGTGTAAAACATTTGATACAGAATCTTCACATAAAGTTAATTAGCACATAACATAAGAACATCTAAAAAAGCAGATATGCACGCTGTATACAAGAAAGAACGAACGAATAGCTTGAAAAGAACGAAAATTAGAAATGAACGAAAAACGAAAATTAATAAAAAAAACACTGTCAGTTCAAACATCTACATTATCAAAACACTCCTATCCTATATATAAAATAAAGATATTAACGCACTTACCTTGTAACAACATGAGAGAACGCAACATTCGAAAAATTGGAGGTTGCTGAAATTTTCATACGTTTTGTAAACTTATGTATAAAAGGAGCATGTGCACTTACTCATACGACACCTTGTTAGGAACAATCCCAAAGGAAAACCACCTGCCAACTCCAAAGGGCCTCACAAAAAATGCTCGCAGTTCAAGCCGTTCGTCCCCAGCAAGAGAAAGCGAGCACAACGATGTGAAAAGAACTATAAAAGATAGAAGAGACTTATTTACTGCGAAATATAAACAAGGAAGCTTTTAGCACCCAGAAGTCATCCAGGAAAACAAAATCTCAAAAAGCTTTATTCCAAGAAAGACACAAGTAAAACTCGTAAAAAAAACTCGTAAAACAGCAAAAAGTACAAGTGTATATTATAAACTCTAAATGAAAAAATCTTGTACTGCACCTAACAGCAGGATACAAGGTCTGGCCGTAAACTTCTTTTGGAAATTACGTCGCTCGAAATTCCGATAGTTATGATAGCGCTTGTTCCATCCACCCGTGGTTCTTCTCCACCACGAAGAAGTGAAATCTCGTACTTGTCTCCCATAAACAGGATTCCGACCTAATGTGATATACGGATCTTCATATAGTCATAATACTGGAATCTGGCTCACCTCCTCGACGGTTCTCTCCATGTGGACGACGAGCGAGGACATAAGAATGATTAACCTGCCGGGGATCACAGTCGCGCGCATATGAGTGTCCATAAGCACCGCCGCCACGGTTGTAAGACCGTCCGTTATTGTAATAACTGCTCTAAAAAAATAGACACAAATCAC